GTGTTTTGGATAGTTCCTGAAGTGGAAGGAAAAGATCCGTTCCCTTCAGATAAGTAGGGAAGTAGACTGATAAATTCTGACATGAGGGGAGTTCGTGTCTGTACATAAAGCGTTTTAGAAGTGGGCTTTTGTAAACAGTGTGGACCTGGGACTAGGGCAAATGTATGTTTGCCTTTATATTTGAAAAAGAAGTTGGGAGTATTCCAGATAAATTGGAAATTGAAGGAGACTGACATCAGAAGGGAATTGCTGCTCTTGAGATATGGAGTGTAAAAATATATGACTGAGTGACTTAGCACAGCAAATGCCATAGCAGTCGTCAAAGCAAACTGTTTCAGAAAGATTGTGGGTAGGCCGGCGGAGGGGAAGTAATAGGTAGTGCACAGGAGACCGCGATGTCGGAGATGGATCGGGAGGTGAAAGGAAGGTGGAAGGCAGAGAGGAGTTGGATTACTACAGATGTGAGCGTCCCAATGAAGTTTTTCCTGTCAAGATGGATGATTTCAGCCTTGGTAACATCAAACAGAGGAAAATTTCTATAGGGTCAAGTGTTGATGTGTCAGAGGCATGTACTTGAGGGAATCCAAGGAAAAGCGGTAACGGCGTTTTTAGGTGTTTGTCTGAAAATGACTTAATAACATGACATTTTAGGTTTCTTTTGTTATTTCAATTGTTCCCTCGATTTCTTTCTCTTAATTTACAGCAAAGTGATGTTTTTCCATCTGCACATCTCACCAATTAACCAAGTATATAAAAGACAGGGTAGGGTATTTCCTTCTCATCCATCGCGAGTACTAAAGACATCCTGCAGATTGTGTATCGCTTTTGGTAGGGTTTTGCAGTTCTTGCCAATTGGAAACTGATAAATAGCAATATTAGTGCTGCACAAAAAGGAACATACTCAACTACTTTATGGCTTCTCAGGATGCTTTATGTGTCTGTGCCGAGGACTAAATACACTTGTATGCAGCTGCACAGTGTTTTAAGGAGCAATGAGTGTGATCAGCATAAAAGCAGTCACTAAGATTGAGCTTTGAAATAACGAGCCAGCTGAAGAGAGCTGGTCACGGAAGGAGTGATGCAGGAAAGGTTTTCTGAATGGTGTTTGTGTCCAAAGCACAAAAGGGGAAAGGCTGGGATTAGGTCAGGAGAGGTCTAGTACAGGGGAGACAGCATGGTCCAGAAATTTGTTGGTAGGTCAAGGAATGTAAGTGGCTTGAGGGAGCTGCGGTCAGTGAAATGACAAAAAGTAGCTTTGCTCACTTGATACAGGCCTGTACTGGGTTTGATCAGAAGGTGAGAAAGTAGAATCTAGAGTTTTTCAAGAGACCATATCAGCTAAAGGAGGAGGTTTAAGTATTGAGGGTGTTGTATGACAAGTAGGGTTTGGCATGAAGGAAGGTGAAAGCATGTGAATCTCTGCGTTAGGAACCAGCGAGGGAAAGGAATTGGACACGAGCTGGTGGGAACAGTCATTTTATCTGATGGACCTGCTGAGTTCGAGCCAACACCTTCTGCTTCCCCTGGCAGTGGGTATTCTGGGGCACAGCCGCTGCCCCTGTTGAGAGGGGAGCCAGGGCTGATCCCTCGTGCCGGCAGCCGGAATCAGATGCCCTGTGTATACGATCGATGGTTGATTATGCAGTAAATGGGTGCTGCTCTTGTTGTCTTTGAGTTTATTATTCTTCAATAAGGCATTTAAATCAACTGTGCGTTTTTGGTAGTCTGAAAAATGTAAACACTTTATGGAAAGAAACGTAAGCATTAAGATTGGAAATAAAATATACTTGTATCTTTTAAAAGGTTTATCTTTACCCTTAAATATGCTGATTGGGCTTATTCTTTTTGCTTAGCCTTTGTGGGCTGTGAAAATCAGTTGCTTTTTCCCATCTCAAGGAAATGCGTCTTTGACACTTCTCATGACCCGAGTCACGATGCTGTCACAGAGCCAGAAACATCCTTAACGGTCATGGGTAAAAGAGCAGGGCTGCCGAGGGTGTGCGGTGGGTGGAAGAGGGAGAGAGATTGCTATGGTTTACTTCAGTTCCTATTCTATGGGTGTTTCAGACAAGCCATTTATTATAATTATCCATGGATATTATTATCAAGTTCTCATATGCAGTGATTCTCAAGGCATTTTTTTTTCCACATAACTTGGGATAGATACTGTGTATTCAACCTGGATTGAATTCAGATGCTAAAATATTTGAGCTAATTGTTGCAGCTAGAGCAAGAAACTATAAAGTATAGGTTAAAAGGTGGAGATGGGGGGAAAAAGCCATGAATGTATTAATGTGTAGTTTATTGTAAATACTAAATTCTAATAAGCCAAGCCCTTTGGGTAAGGGGCTGCTATTAAACTTTCCCTGCCTCCTCACCCAGCATGGCTTCCTACAGAGGTGTCCTTCAGAAATTCCCATTTGCAGTTTCTAAGACAAGCTGACCAGTTTTTCTGACTGTGTTGTCCCTATACAAAAAAATTTAAAATAATTATACAAAAAAATTAAAATAATTTTATTCTGTATCATTTGGAAGAGAAGTCTGAGACACCCAAATTTTCTAAAGTTCACAATGCTGAAGCATCTCAGAATCATCCCTGAAGGAAGGCTTTGAATTCAGAACTGTGTTGATTTGAATTACGATTGATAGACATGACGAGGGGCAGTAATCGTGCATACTTGTTTTCTCAAGCGCTTCATCATTCACCAGCAGGCAGTGTTAGTAAAATTCCCATGTGCAAGAAATTGGAGCAACAAAGTCTCCACAGTGCCTAGAAGCTGTCTGTACGATAACCTCATTAGTGGAGTGTTAACTCTGAGCTCACATAGTCCTTTCCTCAGAAGAGTTTGCAAGCTCAAGTCCAGGGCTGTGGTAGCCACAGCTTGTGGTCCAGAGCTGGCTTGCAGCCATGTGTTGAGGAGGATGGGCAGTGCACTTTTACATTTCTTTGCAAAATATTCCATTACCATACCCATAGTAGTTACAAGAAACTAATCTTGCAGTCCTTTAATCTGTGAAGAGCCGAAGGTGCAAGGTCCGGTCCAAACAGGATGGCAACATTTGGAGCCCTCCTTGCCTGTGCCTGGCATTTACTGGAGAGGACCGAGGAGCAGAAAGGCCGGTTTGGCTGATCTTGCTGGTGACCACCATCTGGAGCGAACCAGCTGAAGTGTTACTGCTGCCGCCTGCTTTATGGCTGTGCAAAACCCGGAGCCAACAGCTGGCAAACGAGTTTTGTTGTTGTTTTTACTTTACGGAGAGTTTTTGCCCATAAATGGACTTCAGCTTTGCACCAACAATATTTTTAGTTAAATAAGTCCTGAGAGATGATTATTCCACCAGACTTGTACATGTGGTGGTGGAGGGGTTGTTTTGTAAAGAAATGCTTCAAGGCACTTTTACTGTTCCTCTTTGAGAAACTTTAGCACAGCAAACCGGTATCTGTATAAAGTCAGAAGGGGAAACGGTGAGGGAAGGAGGAGACATTTTTTCAGATTTTCAAGGAGATATTTTTTACACAAGGCAGTTTGCACTATGGATGTCCTCACAGCTGCTGGTGAGAGGTGCCATGGGGCCTGAGACACTGCTGATGTTCTGGCAGAAGTGGTTTCCTCTCCATTTTTATTCCTCTGGACCATCAGTGTAATTTCTTTTCCACGCAGGAAAAGAAGAAATACGCATGGAGGTAGGCGAAATGGCCAGCCATACATCACTAATTGTAGATGTAAATGATTGGTTCAAATCCCAGGCAGAGCTTGAGGTTTGAACTGTTCTTTCATAATCCATCTTTGGCCAGGTAGAGAGAATGGGCAGCAAAGGCGTCACAGCAGCTCCTTCTCCCTTATAACCTTCGCCAAGGACAAGAGGAGATTTTCGGGTGTCAGTGGGACGCTTTGTAACTGAGGGACAAAGTCTCTGAAACCTCTGAAGATAGTAGAAGGAAGAGAAACCTCCAAAGGAGGAAGGGAATCCGATGAGGCCATGTTCAGATTTTGAGTGGATGACGCTGCCGAGCAGTTGGAAGAGCTGAAGTTCAAGGACTGGGGTGAGAGGGCAGAGGACTCTGTCTCATCAGGGCTGAGGCACTTGGGCTTGCATGTCTCTGTGGAGGATTCTGACCTACGAGCTCGCCTGTCACCATCACATGCCTTGCTTGGATGCAAATAGAGAGAAAGTTCTGCCTTCTGAGGAAAATCATGAGATTTAGTGCAGCTGTGTTTCCAAAGGTTCAGTATCAAGCGGTTTTAAACGTTATGAAAACAGCCGGCTGCGTTATTTTCTCCCAACCATTTCAATGGAATAAGTCAGTGATAGGTTTTGGACTTCCACCAGTTTATCTGAGAGAAAAATTTGCTCTAAGTAGCTAGATCATGTGTGCGTACATGCTGTAGCTAATACATAATATTCTTCCTTTAATGGGTCTAATTGTACTGGAAATATTGAGGGTTAGGGTGTGAAGTGAGGCTAAATTTGGTAGGATACAATTCAAGGAAATTGCAACGTAACTTTAATTTAGAAGAGATCGTTAACTAAAACAATTAGTTTCCTGACTTTTTCTAGGAAAATGTGTAACATTTTACAAAGATAAAACTGAATAAAACAAAACATAAAAGAAAAAGCCCACTTTGGCAGTAATTAGCGCTTGTGGTGTGGAGTGTGTTCCTCGGGACGCTATTGAGTTTGTCTGTCAAGCTCTTCCAAACGACTTCTGCGAGCCAGCATTGCTTCCGCAGGGTTCTCTATTCGGGTCACAAGGCAGCGTTTCTCACCAGGGCGCTGCTGTTTCCTCTTCCGACTGTAGTAGATTACAGATTATACTGGAACATGTCTGAGAAAAGGTCAGAAATGAGGGTGAAAGTCTTGGAACTGAAGCTGGGAAGCTTTCCATTCTCATCCGGGAAACTTTGTATTGAATAAAAAGCAAAAAAAAATAAGGCACCGCATCCATGACACTTCTGTTTTTCCTGCCGTTTTCTGTCTGCCAGCTAGAAAGGATTTTATTACCCTTGCGTTATGCGATTAGTGAATGTTTAGTTGAGGAATCTTCAGTGTTACACTAAACAGAAATAATGGCCGAACACAGTTCGTTTTGGTAGAACTCGGCCTCCACATGATTGCATAGCCTGGAGTTACTGCGTTTTTATTTCCCAAATTAAAGTTGTTTATATGTAGTGTTAATGTCAGCAGGGTACGTGGTACGCTTTGAAATGTAGTCTGTTAAATACTGTAAGATACAAAAGCTAATCAAGTGGGGTTTGAATTTTAATGACACTGCATTACTGAGCTTTTTGTATTGGAGTTATGGAAGAAAAACAAAAAAAATCAACGTAGAATGATTTTATTATGAGGCTGAGAGGTGCTCGATACCACTTCAGTTTTTCATGTAAAGTGTCTAGAGGAACTAAAATCCTTATGGTCAGTACTTTCCTACCAGAAAAAACCATCTGGGCCACCGTCAGTTTGGTGGTAAGGTGGTGTTAGGGTGTGGTTTGGGTCTTAACCTGGGCTGTGGATTGCGGAGCTCCCTTTCCACCTGACGGGCTGAGGCTGTTGCCTGCGTGCGGGGCTGGGACCTGTGGTAGGGATGTAGCAGAGCGAGGTTTGCATCAGGCGAGAAGTGATTTGGTCGCGTTAACGTGATACCGTGCATGCTGCGTGCATAGATGAGCTCCTTGGGGCTGGTGGGAGTGTATCTGCCCTGCTGCATTTGGATGTATATTTATGTCTTTAGTAGCTGCAAAAATCAGGATGTTTTTCTTCCTCCCTCCTCAGAGATGATCTCTGACAGCAGTGCCCTGAAGTACTCCGTTCAAATGCTGAACAACTGGGAATCTGGCTTGAATTCATCAAGGCTCTTAGCTGATCAGAAGAGGACAAGTTTACTCTATTAATTGCTTTCAGTTGATTGAATGCTATTTTATACAGTGTTACAAGCTCACAGGTCTAGCATGTTTTCCCCTAAGAGTATCTTTCCCTTCCCATCCAAAAGTGTATTTTGAAAACTTAGAAATGTGTGATTTGATCAAATGTTTAAATCTCATGTTCATGCCTTCAGAGTATTTTGTAGGTTTAATGATAATTGTAAGTAATCGTGAATAAAATTTGTAGCTATCAATGACTTAACCTTGCAGTGGCGAAGGTACGTGGGCAGTGGATAGTGACTCCTCTGCCCGGCTCCGAGGCGATGGCTGGCCGTGGGCTGCGGTGAGGAGGGTGAAGGCGAGGACGAAGCCGCGGGGCCGCGAGCCAGGCTGGGCCCTACCTGGGAGCTGCTCCTGATGTCTTTTCCACAGATGTCCAGCTTTGTCAAAACCCAGTAAATCTTGTGAAGTTTATTTTCCTTATAGCATCTGTGTTTTATAATGGTGCTTTTAATTTGTTTTTTCTTTGTCTGCTGGGATTTCTTTTGTCCGGCACTTTCAGGCCTCCCTTTTTTTCTGGGTGGAAGTGAGTCTGTTAATGATGGCCAGCTTGGGAATACACCCCGGCCAGGCCGGCACGGCCGCCGCTCCCTCTCTCTCACAACAAAGCCCATTGTTGTTTTCTTTCTTCACTTTTATCCTCAACTTAATCCATTTTGCCTTTGAGTATTTGTGGAATAAAAAGTCTGGAGAAGCGTGGCTCAGGTTTTGGGTGGATGATATGGTGGTTGTTTCGTTGCAGACGTTCAGCAAGCAGGTACGCAGGCAGAGCTGGACGATCATGTTTTCTGTATCTCAGCAGGCAGTGTTTATCCAAGCTCATGCTGCACTTGGAAATGAACTTCTGCTATCAGAGGACTCGAGCCACAACATCCTCGGCTTTTTGCAAGTCCCGTAGTGAAATTAGTAAGAGCTTTACTAGCAGCTTACACTGAGACATAAGACTCTTTTTTCTTTTATTTTTCTCCAATAGAAGTCTAAAAGGCTGAACTCTGGTTAACTGTAGGAGTTGTTTTGACTTGGGTTTGGTTATGATCAGGAATTTCAACTTTTGAGTCTGTAATATTTCAGTGAAAAAAATAATGCCAGTGCTTCCTTTCGGCTGCGTCCTGAGCTGTGACCCAAGCTGGAGAGGGAACACCAGCAAATGGGAGGAATACGGGGGAAATAAACCTTAGCCTAAACTGGCTTTAATGTATTCTGTGCACAGCTCTTGAACCATCATCTGAAAATCTCTTCCGTGGCAGCACGTGGAAAGACAAACAACCGAAAGGACTTGCCTTGCACAGGGTCCCGAGCGCTGTTGAGCTCATGCTCTGGGTGACCACCAAGTTCAGGTGCCTTGTTGCTGGGGATGCTGGGCTGAAGATGCTCAGACTGATTCTTGAAAGGGCAGGTTTGCCATGAAATTGTGGTGATGGCGATTAATTTTGTCTAAATTAATTGCAATAGAAAGTATTCCTTGAATAGTCACTAGGATGTGATTTGTGTGTAGCTGCCAGCATAGAGCCAAGCTGGCACTGAACGTTAAATCACCAGGGCTAAGTGAAGCTACTCTATCTGAAGCTGTAATCCCAGGGTTTTATTCTTTGTTAATATACATATTTCCTTACAAGAATGAATATATACCATCCGCATGTGGCAAGGTAATTTGAGTACAGGATTCTGCTGTATGGAAAAGGTTTGATATTTCTAGCGGACTTAAACTTTGGTTTATTTGTTGCTTGTCCTTTGACAGTGAATCAACAACTGCTTAAGCTGTAGAAATAATGTTGATGCTTGACTGCGTTCTTTGTGCTCTTTTGGCCTCGTATGGCAGTCCTGTGCGCACACAACTCCCGTTTACTGCAGGAGGAGCTTCCTCCTTCAAAGGGCTGGAGGAATGGAGGGTGACTTGGTCGGATCTCTAGATGGGCGCAACAGCACACCATAAAATTGTGGGGGTTTAAAATGACTTTGATTAAACGTAGTGTGTGATGCTGTTTTGTTCCGATGAAGTTCAGAACACTTCTGCTGAACGCTTAGAGAAGGGACAGCCCCCGTCGTGAGAGGGCATTTCCTGGCTGGATCCCCAGGGCTGGGCAGCTAAGGCAACAAGCGTGTAGGCAACATACAATGAAGATATATCAGTGTAGAACATTTCCATCATAAAAATAACTAAAAATAATTCAGTGGAAATGAAAGCAAATATTTTTACTTTTTCTTTTGAGCATGATTTTCTTTAACCTTATTCACCTGCACCATCCTAATGTCATTGTAGTCAGATTTTCAAGAAAATATTATTATCAGAAATAATTTGTCTGCTTTTTGTAGCATTCCACAACTTTTAGTTTTTGACTTGCATCACTTTTACTTACATTTATTTGCAGTTAAGCAACTGAATGTTGCTGCAGAAAATATAGATTGGCAGGCAAGAGTTATAGGGATATACGTTAGGAAAATACAGCTTTTCCATTTGTCATTGCTAAATTTTTTTATCATGTTTGTGCTGTGAAGTGCTGTGCATTAAGAGCTCTGGTTTAGTTAATTTTTTAATTGACGTTTGTAGTCATCAGATTAAGCTGTACATTTAAAAATTAAATGCTTGACCTCTGATTATTTTTTTTTTTTCAAAGAAGAATCATCTTAGATTTTGGTCCCATTCAGCATCTCTTTTATACGTTTTCCGTTCTCTCTGTAGGGTTGAGTGATTTGTTTTTGTTTACTTTGTGTTTCCTTGTGTGTGAGCCAAAAAATTTGTAGGATGTTGTCGCTACAATTAATAAAAAACTCCTAAGTGATGAGTTAACCCTGCAGTTTTCTGCAGATCTTTAACTGCCTTGAGATTCCTCAACTTGTATGAACGTAAAGCAGCTCATCCGTGTGTCGGAAGGCCATCTGTAAATGCCTCGTTTCTCTGCATGCAAATATTCTGTTGAATCAACCAAAGGTTTTGCGTATGGAAAATACATGATGCTGGGAGCGGGGGGGAACTGAGTGAGTAAATGTGCCTTGAGAGAGAGCACTGTTACCCCACAGCCATTTGGTTCAGTAGTTCAGAGTTAATCATTATATTCCTAACAAGTAAAAGAAAACAAATTACAGACATTTGGAGCCCCCTCTGTAGCCGCCGTCGCTGTTTGCTGTGTAGCACGCAGTTGCTCATGATGAATATAGGAGAGCGAAACACTTTCAGAGGGGCCTTGATTACATGCAACAGTGACTAATTAGACAACAATGCAGAAAACTATTCATACTCCTCTCTACAAGAACCAAGAATGCATTATGAAACTAATCTTAAAAAAATTAATTGCATCTCGGTCTTAATTTAAAACTGAGCTAGTTGGGGTTTGGTTTTTTTTTTTTTTTGTTTGTTTTTTTTCCTTTTCCTGTTTCTTTTTATTCCAAGTTGGTGCAGGAAAATTGCTATTAATGAAATCTGCTCTCCGAGACTTCAATAGGCTTGTTATTCATTAAAGCCTTGCTATTTCTCTTAAAATGTATTGACCAATGTTCAGGCCAGATACTTGACACAAAATACACTTTGTAATTTCATCATTTTTGTTATTGTGCTTTTCTAAGGTGCAGAGGTCTACGGACTTTGTAGAAAAAACAAATAAAACCCCTGAGCTTACAGTTATATAGTATTAAAAGAAGAGTAAAGGCAGCATTGAGTGTCTTTAGGATGATGAGACATTCATTAAGATTTTTCCGCCTTCCTTTTCCTATTTTTCAGTCCATCTGAAGTACCATTAAAGCTTTTCAGGCAGCTTCCTGTGAGAAACCCTTTTCTGTGCTGTTTTTCTTCCTTGAAAAAAGGTGGCGGCTCTTCAGTCGGGTTGTATGGATTTGGCCTGGGATTTGTATAATATCTCTGTAGAATGCATTGGTTGTTTAGGAACCTAATTCCCAATATGGCTCCCTTTTGATTAAGAACAAAGCCAGCGTTTCACAGCATTATAGGAACACAGAAAAACAAGTTAATGATCTAAACCTTTTAATTCATGGTTGCTTGTCTATTTAAAGTACTTTTGATTCTGTTATAAACAGACTGGCCCCTTTTTTGTTTAACTTCTTTCTTTGGTTTCTTCACATTTCTTTCTTTACTGTCCATGAAATTTGTAGCTAGTTTCCTTTTGTAACTGAAGAATGAAAGGTTGTGACTACAGAATGATGCAGAAAGTAAGAAAGCGTATCTAAACTGGGCGTATATCCAGCGCAGACGTCTTTGAAACAAGCTAAATTTAGGGTTGTTGGGATTTTTTTGTTATGTTTTCCTCTTCCTTTTTTTTTGAGTACCTACGTTTTGTTTTCTTCTTTTTTGAATTAATATAAAATTAGTTACTTTTTTGATACTTTCTTGATTTTTACATGTAGCTGTATATGGCTTTATTTTGTATAGTTACTTGTTATTTTCTTCCAGTCTCACTTCAGCTGATTGCTATTACATGTGCCTTTATCCACAGAGACAACAAAAGCGACCTTTTCAGAACTTTCAATTACCGACACTGTATGTGGTACTTCAGGAAAATAGTTCCCTTCCAGATTTACTTTTTTTTTTTTTTTTTTAATAGAGAATTGGAATCCAGAGCTTGTTCTTCAAATCAAACTTGAAAACATTTCGGTGAACAAAACTCTCAGGCAAGCAGCAGCAGCATGACTAATTTCCCTTCCATGGAAGGGAACTTTGTCCCCATATATAAAAATAAAGATTTGCTGCTTCCGTTGTCATTTATTTTTTACCTGAAATGAAGATGACTTTTTAAAATATGTTTTTGCTTACAATAGGAGCTTGTTATTTCTTTTTTTTTTTTTTTTCTTTTTTCGGGAATGGCTTATTTCAGGCAGTTGTTTAGAAATTATAAATGAAGGAAAAAATTCCAATAATGTGTTTTATTCCATCTCTATCCCATCAAGGTAAATTGAACAGCCAAGACACTTACAATAACTTCACAAACAATAACCCTGGGAACCCTCGACTCCTGCCTCTTCCAAGTTTGACTGTGGTGTTGCCTCTTGCTCAGATCAAACAGCCAATGACCTTAGGGACCATCACCAAACGCACAGGGTAAGTGTATCTGCACAAACCTTTCTTAACGTTATTTATAATTAATATGGAAATAATTAGTGTTACTGGTGATACTTAGTTTTATTCCATCTTTTAATTTCAGTCCATGTAATGTAGTGGCAACAGAAGGGGGGTAGGGGAAGGAGGAGACAAGAAAAGAAAAGCAGCATCAGATAAGTAAGCAAAACCTGAAAACAAATCTGAAAATTCAGGAATATTCATTTGGGTGGGTCATTTTCTTACAGTCTACCATATGGGAAATACTGTATGCTGACATCAGGGGAAGTTTCACACCAGGAATTGGTATGAAACATAAGCAGAGCTGTGTTCAATCAGAAAAAGCTATGGGTTTACTTTTTTTAAAAAAGTTTGTTTATTTTGATTTCCAAACTTTTCAAGCAGAAATTGTTTTTGACTATCAGAAACGGAAACACGGTAAGCCAGGTTGAGTATAAAGAGAAAACTGAATCCTGCTGTTTTCTTGACCTTATTTTTCCTCTGAAGTGACTGTTCTGTACTATGAGATTCATGTATGGACTTTATTCCGGAGCCAGGTGCACTTTGGTACTTCTCACTGTGCCATGATAACGCACTTCAAGATATTTGTCATGAAAAGCTCTACTAAATATATGTATGTTGTAAGAACTAAGCAGGTTCTGTGAGCTTCATAAACTGCAACAATATTAAGTTAATTGATACTGTTCAGCAGTTGATATTTTTCTCTTGCTGAATTTCAAATCTTTGGTTTTTGCAATTAATACGTAAAGCTAGTGGGTGATTAGTTAATGGTCTTTTCTGTCTCCCTTTTTGGTTGTTCAAATTCCTGAGTATTTTGTAGTTAAAAATCTGATTAATTTACAGATTGCTTTTATATTTTTATGAATCATACGTTGCATATGACATGTGGTTGGATGAAACAATTGAGAGTCCTAGAGGTTCATAACATTTTCCTGCATTTTGGCAGATGGGTGCAGACGCTGTCTTGCTTGCTTCAGCAGCTTCTTGCTCAAACCCCAATAGTGAGGTGAATTTTGCCTTGTGTTTCATGAACCAGGAATTATTTTTCAGGCGAGAGCTTGCGAATAATCCCTCTCTGCCTGAGTAATTCCCATATTCTGTGCTTGAGTGTTCAGGACATGACTGTTTTGTTTAGTGCACTAAGAATGCATGGTGAGGTTCTAAAGCTTGTGTATATGCACATATATACATGTGTATCTATATGTATGTCTATCTAACAATCCAGTCCTGCTCTCGTTGCTGTAAACAGGAATTTCATTAGGCTTGTTGAGCCAAGTCATGAACTATGAAACATGATTGCTCTAAGCACAGGGGCTGTCTGCAGATAAGTTCCTGAACTTCACAGATAATTGTAAAAGGGACTTAGGAATCAGTACAGAAACAGTATAAGGGCAGTGTTGTGGTTTAACTTCTTCCACAGATACATTTCAGTTGCTTATTTTTGCTTTTTTTTCCTGCCTACATTTTAAACACGGGCAAGGGAAATAGATAGCGCTAGCAATCAGGTGGATTTTGAAAATATAGGAAGGTGTGATCTGGGCTGAGGACGGGGGGGAGGCTGATGTGCAGGGAGTTACAGTTCCCGAAAGAGGGAAAACATCAAAAAGGTCACTTGAAGAGTGCAGTCAGAGGACAGAAATGTAATTCTGGGGTCTGTTGTTGGACTCCTAGAATGGAATAGAAACTTGGAACGAGGTGGGGCAAGACGTAGAAAATAAAAAGCCATCCGAGGGTCTGTTGAGGGAAGGTAGGGTGACAGGAGCAATGGTGAGGAGGATGATTTGAAAAAAAGCACTTGGTTTACAGTAGTAATTCATGCACTGGTCTTTACAAAGGCTGTTACCTTAATGCTGTGGTGATACCAGCAAACTTTTGTACAACTACTGCAAATGTAATAAATCTGCATTATTTTATTTAATGTTTTATTCTTAAATATCTTAAACATATTCAGAGTGTTCATATTCATAGTTTTCTTAACTTAAATTTTACTATTCACAAAACTGTCCCTGTCTTATTATTTTGTGTAACTTTAAAGACTAATTAAATTTAAAATATTTAGTGAGGTTTATGTAAGGGGTGAAGACAACAGTCATGGGAAATACCCTGCTGTGTAAATAGAGTTTTCATGAATGAGGATCATAATTTTCAGCAAAGCCCGTGTAGATGTGTAATGCTAAGCTGAGAGCTTCCTTCATTTGTTCTGCATCCAAAATATTTGATGAAAGTACACAAAATTAACATGAAAAGCTGTATTTATAAAGCAGGGATTTAATAGGAATGCCTAGGATCCAAGAAGCCTGGCATGCCTAAAATGACCAAATTGAGACAGCAGCCTTAACTTAAACCTCCAGGGGGCAAAGCGTGTGTTTAACATGTTTAACATCTGCCCTCATATTTCTAGAAACACATAGCAATGTAAGTCTGTACAGTGTAATATTTAGACAGGACAAAGACCATCTGCCTCACTCTGAGAAGTGTAGGAGGCATGTATTACTGCAAATGGCAAAAGACAGATGTATTTACACCTACATGGTCAGCACCTTTAAGCACTGCTCCGAGGAAACAAGGCTTTTCTTTGGGAGCAGCTGCTTAACCTTGGGATTGTGCAGTGATCAGAAAAAGAGACGAACTCGCTATCAGTTGGGTTTTACAGTCCCTGTTCAGTGGCCCTCAAAGCAGATTCCTTTCCTGCTGTTGCTACTTTTAAAGAATAAAAAATTTGATCTGTTGCAGTAAATTTCAAAAAGTAAAAAGGAAGACTAAAAGAATACCACATAATTAGCAGTTCCAGATTTATCTGTTTTAATTGCTTGTAACGTATGAAAAGCTTCTCTAATACTAGACATCTCAATCAAGTTTTGCGGTTTTTATTAATCAAAATGTCAAGTTAGGGTATTTTTGCTGCTAGTATCCAAGATAGCAAAATATTTTTCAGGTACTGAAAGGACTGATCAGTGCTCTTAATCTCATCTGTCTCAAGCAGAGCTGCAAAGCGTGTCATTTTACCTGACAAGCGGAATGGCAGTCAATTTTTTAAAAGTGTTCACTGTAGCCCAATGGGAATGAAAGATCAGAATCTGGAGTTGTGTCGTTGCTGTGCTGTTCATCACAGATGCGTTCTTTTCTCATCCAAACCTGTGGGTTTTGGAACATTTTCTGATCAGTCATTCGCCTCTCTTACTCTAAAAACAATTTACATTCTTGGCACTAAGTATCTCAGAGCATTACCTCCCTTCTTGCCATTGCTATCATTTCTTTGTTCCCTGCCTGCTGTTTGTTCCTTTGCTTTTTCAAGTCTCTCATTGCAATTTCCGCACCTTCATGAAGCACTTAATTTTTGTCCCTATATTTTGTCATCCCATTGACTCGCTTTCCTGTAGTTTGTACTGTCAGCACATTCTGAGGAGCAGGTCGGCTTTCCCAGAGGGGCTCTAACGGTAATGAGCGAGGAAGCATCTTATGTTTTAAAGATTAGGGGGATGTAAGACAGTAAAAGAGCTAGATTTAATAAGTCTTTATATATCAGTGCCTCAGTTTCCCTCTCAAAATTTTAATAGTAATGCTGAATTCCTTCTCAAGTCTGGTGAATGGATTAATTCATTGCTCATTTACAAAGAGCTTATAGATTTGAAAGGGGAAGGACTGTATGATCCATCTCATGCTTGTCTATAAAAGGCCGTGAATCAGAATATGTTAGAAGACAGCTTTGTGTTTTGCAGTAGCTTTATAAGCGTTCCTTGTGTTTGTGGAATGAGTTGTACTTAGTTTCCAGTTTGGAACAATGTGAGGGCACAGATGAGCTGTAATAGGAAGGAGGGAAATAAAAGATACAATAATTGCCCCAAAAGAAAAACTGTTATAAAAGTTGGTTTTTCTGACAGCAGCATTTGTTTCAACTTCCTCCGGGGATATGGTCATTACGTTTGTATCATACTTCATTCTCAAATTCATTATAGCTTTAGTGAAACATCAGGATATAACCTGCATTAGTTGGGTCTTGTCAAAACAGAGGCATCCAATGTACCTTGGAGGAAAAGGAGTAAACCTTGCTTTTTTTCCATTCAAAAGATTATGTAGTGTGTTTTTGAACATGAAACTCCATCCGTTCTTCATCCTGTCCCTCATTCCACCCCCAGTAAGGAAGGTGAAAAATAGGTAAAGTGTCTGATGTAAATTTATCATTTTAGTGTTTTTCATTGCTTATATTATCTGTACTGCAAATCACTGATATCCATTTGTTTTATTTTGACTCAGAGAGCTTAATTTATCCCAGGTTCTACTACTGAAGCAAACAAAAATAAGGAGTGCAAAGTCAAGACGCCATGACACAATTAAGTAGGAAAAAGTAGCTAGAAAAGTCAAGAAAAAAAGCTAAAAAGTAAAGCTGAAGAACTCAGTCCAATAGGTCAGCTTTCCTACATGCTGAAGCCAGACATTTTCTTTCTGGCGTATTTCTCAAACATGTTTCATGTCACCTTTAGATTTTATAATACGTTTTGTTAGTAAAGCAACTACTGTACTGATTTGCAATTGATATGAAATACAGTTGTTTGCACTAATTTTTTTCAGATGGCACTATTTATGAAAGGATTCTTGCTGTGACGACATGCAGTGATAAGGGTTGGAGTAAGTGGGTATTGCACAGCTTATGAAAAGCTTAAACAGTTGCTATTAAGCGTGATAACACAAAATACAGGGAATGTTTCAGTCTTCAATTTGCTAAAACGCAGAATCAGATAAGAAATTAAGAAAATTCTGTTGGATTTTCGACACATAAATCATCTTCATTCCACAATTTGCCTTTGGAATTTCTCACTAGCTATAAGAACGGGGAAGCTCGGTGAGTTTTTTGCCTTGGCATTGCTCTGTTAGTGTCACCGAGCATGGCCATCTGGTGCTGTCTTTTCAAGGTTGGGTTACCCTGTAATTTGTACATTCTCTCTCTAGCATACCATCCGTACGGTGTGAAGGAAATAGTGAAAAACAATTGCTTATATAAATACCATAGGAAAAAAAAATGGTCATCTTAAAAGAAATTGGGTCTCGTGAACATAAAGGAAATGCTGAGTTGTTTCTCTCACACTTACGGCTTTTTACTAAGACTCCACTGTAGTCTTTTGAAGTGTAATTACTTTATCTTCATGATACAAGATTTTGTATCTGTATAAAAACAAACAAAGAAAACCTTCCGTTGAAGCTTGTATCCACCTGGGTCAATTTGTAATTAAAGTAGAGATAATTTGTTCATTTGCAAGTATAACAGGTCAACATAATATGTTGTGGGGGGGGAAAAAAAAACACAACAAGAGCCCATGTTGTGTCCAAATGTGTTCTAATGAGCTCACCTAAATGTCATTTGCCTGCTTCTTGCAGACAGAGAAACTGAGGCAGAGTGGAAAAAAAAAAATACTTGCCAAAATGTCCAGGATCATAACTGAGAAATTCTAAGCTCACAGTCAGATTCGACCACTCTCTACATGCTCACCGAGATGTTTTTTAAGAGGATGTTTGCATTCATTGATGTTGTGCTCTGTCAAATTTAGTTCACAGAATTAGTTTCTATCATGCAGATACACTTTTAATTGAGCAGGCATATGGCTGAGTGCTTTATACATCTCTCTGTGAGACCTTATCTGTTAGTTGATTGCCTGAAAATATTTCACGTTTCACCTAGCCAGAATTTATCCCCGAGTCAGGATATAAAAAGAAAAACGGCACATTGGCATTTACAAAATCAATTATTCAGCAATTTTGTGGATGATGTTACATCCCAAGTGAGAATCAAAGAAGCTTGGAGCATGTGAGTAGCTGTAAATTTGCCTCCTGTTCCTCCTTTTCAGATTTTATGCAAATGTCAGTATGGCAGTGGCTTCTTCAAGGGTGATGCAAAGAACAAGGGAGATATCCATTAAAAATGCACTAAAATTAAAGGTGTGAGAAACCACTTCAGAAACTACAGGCTAGCCAAAAATACTTGAACAACAACAAAAGGAAATCATAGTGTAGGTAAATCGTTGAGTGGCCAAGAGCATTAAGGTGAATATCAGGTGGTTTTTAACATCAAATACACTTGAAATAAGTTAGAGTTCTCTTTCCTGCATTCCATGCAAGCTTGGAAGTGGGGGAATAAGATTGCTGTGTCCTACAGTTGCTAAAGATTTTTAATTTGATAGCGTGTTTCTGTCCTAGGAAAAGGGCTGAGTAATTTTCTCTAAAAGGTTGTGCTTGTACCTGTCGTTGTTTTAACATAGGACTTGCCTCTTTTTAGTAAATTTGTAAACCTGTCCCCCTTGAGCCTTCAGTGTTTCAGGGGAAACACCCACTTATTCATTGTTCTTGATGTTCATTTACTTTTGTTAATTTTGACTGTAATGTCTGTTTAAGGCTCTTGACTGCTTTTGCCTCAGATTTGTCAGGAGATCTCGGGAAGGAGACTTTAACCGTGTCTAACTTGAATTAGAACGTCAAAGCCTGCTTGCAACGGGTGCATTACGTTTGTCCCGGCAGTTGTGCATGAAGAGCCGACCACGACAGCTCCTGCTTGTGTGGGTGGTTGCGTTGTCAGCGGGACTCTTCCCGTGAGCAGCGATGTTTGTGAGCGTCAGCATGCTGGTTACGTTAGAGGTCTACATCTCTTTCAGGGCATCATGAACAGTTATAAAAAACAGGGTTTTTACCTTCTGCATAAATCTTAATAGCATGATATACAGTGTACTTGTTGGTAATTGAGTTTTCATCTAATTTCTGTGCATTTTTCCCCTTTACGTGAAGACCTTACCTGTTTGGAGCAGGATGTTTTTCCATAAAAGCTCCATGGTGAGTTCCCAGTTCAAACCCAGCATGCCTATAATTCATTTGCTGTCCTCACTGAAAATAACTCTGTGCTTAGACTTTTTAATTTTGGATTCTTTTTTTTTTTTTTCCCGATGTGTTTGCTTGCATGGCTGATCCATAGGCAGAAGCACTGCATCATTTCACTTTTAAACTGTGGATGCATGTTCACCATCAAGCATTGTCAAAGGAATGCATTCACCTTTTTTTTTATTTATTTTTTACCTTTGAGAGGGCATTTAATTTTTAAGTAGCAGAGAAGCTGAAAAAATAATTTCCCCATGGGCAAAAATGATTGCAATATCTTTCCAAAAGCAAGCCTTCTTTTCTAGATAGCTTCCTTTATTACTGTAGCACTAAGTTGCCTACAGACAGAAGACATCGATGATGACCTCTTGAAAATAAACCAGATTAGGAGTGAGTAATTAGTAAAGTACTGCAGTAAGAGAGATGAAGCAAGTATAATGGGCACTGCAAAATAAAAATAAAAAAAAAAAGAAGCCTATCACACTTGAAAAAAAAATAAACCACAGTTCTGTTAAAATCAGGATATTTGAAATAATATGAGGTTTTGGTTTTAATGTGTAAACTCACAGCATCTTACAAATATACAGACAGAAGATAAAACAAGTTTTGACAAGTTTCCCTGTGTCTGACCTAGGTTCAGTGTTCATCCAGTGCTGCATAACCTCCAGTCACCTTTTCATAATGAGATGGGGGTTAGGTGGTTAGTATTTTAGTCAACAAGAATGCAAGAAGTTTGAGCATCTTACAACTTTCTAAGAAAATTTATAAACTTTCAGCTGGGACTTTTTGGGTTTGTGTTGGTTTTGTGGGGTTGTTTTTTAAGTTTAGCTAAGTTTAAGTTCATGTCTATCAGTATCTGTTAGAATGTTTGTATGTGGCTCTTGTTTCTGCTACTAGAAGTTCATTTCACATCCCTTATGTCACTACCAATATTCCATCTTCAGCAGAAGGAGCTTCCTAAGACATTCGTTAGGATACAGGGTTCTTAAGGGAATGGCAGAGGACAATATGACGCTAAAGGAAAGAAGGGGACATCGCCTTATTCCTAGAAAATAACTGGTTACTGCAGTAGTCTTCCTAAGAACCGTTTCAAAATGTAGTTTATGAAGTATTTTGTCTGATGGTGACCTCAAACTGAAAAGGTTCTGGAGGAAGAGTACTGAAAGTGGATTGTCTTAGCAAATGGATGTGTTGGTCACCCCCTGCATGAAGCAGCAGAGACGATTGCCAGCCAGAAATGATTTTAGATTGAGGCAAGATTAAAAGGCCAAGATTAAAGAGGGGAATATATGAAATAGACTCAAAAATTGTTGCCTGTCTTTCACAAGACTCTATTGTGGTTTGTTTAATGCCAGTGCTAGCTCAAAAATATGGTCTTTACTAGCCTACAGAGAAATTAGGATAAAAAACACGCTTTGGGTGGGGGAAGAAATCATGTTGTTTCCATTAAGGTCTTAATGAGACCTAAAATTATGTAAACAAAGGGGATGGAGATTTGACAACTTACTGCCTGGCAAATAAAGGAGCCTACCATTTCTTTCCTTGCTTTTTCGTGCCCTATTCATGATCTGACAACTGGAAACGTGTCTTTGTTTTCTTTGTTTAGGCACAATGATAAATTAATTAAAATGTACGTATTTTGAGACAGATACGCTTTTTCGGTAATTTTATGTGTAATTGCATATTTAATGCAGTACTTTCCTCCTGATTGTTTTGTTGCTGCTTGTGTAGTCCAGTAAGACTTTACCTTCAAAATCATGTATGTTTCCATTTCAGTGGATTTAGCTGTGGAGCTGTGGATAGGTGCTTTTGTTTTTAAGAATCTGGTGTGTTCGAAGCCTATTCATTGGGAATATAGAATCAATGTGATTCTCAATAGCTGCAGACTCTTACTATTCGATTGATAATATTTGAATTTGTAAAGCAGTTCTTTCACATCATATATATGTAATTTTTTTTTTTTAAATCATGTAACTTGTTTGACTGTGAACTTAAAGACAAATTTAAGAGCCAGCAGTATTTATGAGACATAAAGCTCTTTGAGGAAGACTCCATCGCTGTACTGCATAGCCTCTGGTTTTCATACTTGCCTGGGGTTTTCAAAAGATTCGAACAGTATTAATTCTTATTAATTCTTACATAAAGTAGAAAAATAAATAAGAAAAAATGTAAACTAGTTAAAATATGGTCACTAGTTATGATTTTTATAAAGAGCTAACACAATACATTTCAAGAGATGTGTCAGTTTGATTCATTACACAAGTCAACAAGTGGAAGCACTGAATTGTTTCCGACGGTGTTGTCAACATGAAAGAACTTGCATGCTGTTGCTGAGTCTCGTAATTTCTTTTTAAGATCTGACAAAGTGATGTCTTAATTTTCTTCTTTAATTTGCTCCCATCGCTTTTTGTGCCATTTCAGTAGAAAACGTTCATGTGTGGTTTTTGTTGGACATGTGTACATCTCAGTGGTTCTCCATTTAAAGTGGAAATAATCCTCCAAAATCATGTTAGAAAAGTTAATTAATATCAACAACACAAATTACCCCAAATATTGTGGTATTTACCTGGAGTGTGGGATTAACTTGATTTTTGGTAGGTGACTTTGTCATTGGCTTCAGCTGGGGTAGGTGAATGTCAACTGTCAGTAACTGAACATGGTCTTCAGTTGAGGCCCAGCTTTATTAGATTAGTCGCAGAACAAGAACTACGTAATTAAAGGGGTTTTATTGCTTTTGTACTTCTGCTGCAGGTTTCTGCACAGATACAATTGGGATAAAAACACTGCTGCATCGCATTGAACTCTTGGTGTGGTTACACAGTTGGGTAGACCCAGACAAGAAAAAGTACGCTCCCTGTTTTTCCTCCTTGTGTCTTAAACATAGTGCTGTTGTTTCTCATGTGGAAGACTGAAATTATAAGGGTGAACGTTTTGGTCCCGTTAGCTTCACTTTCTTGTTTTTAGTGTTGATTCCCAGCAACCCACACTTCTTCCTGCATCGTAACCCCTTTCAGTAAAAATTGGGTACAATCTTTTGAAAGGTAGTATATTGTGAAGATTCTTTTAAATTAACTGTTTTTAAAAGTGAGGCCAAATGTGCCTTAATTTCAGTTCTTGGAATAATTTATGAAGTGCTGACAGGCTAAGAGCAAGTAAAGAGCCGGAGTTCATAGCAGAAACAAGTCATTCACCACCTACCTTCAACAGTATTGTTTTGTTATCATTTATAAAGCTGAGAGGGTGTTTGCATCTACATAATAATGAGGATTTATAGTTTCCAAGTTGTTAAAATCTCACAATGACATGAAAATATATTTTTCTAATGGCATTACTGTTACTGCGAATAACTGGGCTTTTGAGGTTTACTGAACAAAAGAAACTGGAGTTGGAATGTATCGATGAAAACTCAGGGATAAAGTAAAATGGTGATAAAATGAAAGATTCCTTAGTTACAATAGTTTTCAGAGTAGACTTGTTGACATCTCAGCATTTTTCTCAGAAATGTGTCTAAACCAATATGATGCACTAGTCATTTTTTTGTTTGTCTTTATTTTTTAGCAGGACTGTGTTTAACTACATGAGTAATCGTGTTTTACAAGATCTGCTCTTTCTGTCTACAAAACATAATTCTTGAAGGGAAAATGTTTTGGCACCGAAACCAACACTTAAATGCGTGCCTTGAAAGACGTACATCTTAAAGACATGGTGTAAATAGAACGTCGCTTAGAGCATTTCCTCTAAGGCTGTTAATAACTGTATTTGGCTGAGCAGAGGTCTTGGGGACTAAGTGTGGAGAACCCTGCAAAAGTGCATTGTTACAACAGAAGATTCAATTCTGCTTAAAGGCTTGAAGAAACAGTTGGAGTCAATTATGTCTCTGTAGAAGTTTTCTCCAGTTTGTAGTTGAGAATAGCATTTGCTCCCAATTTTTTTTCCATTGTAAATTATTTTAATAACCTCAGATTGTGTTGAGGAAAAATTCAGATATTAAGAATATTAGGATAGTATAGAAAGATTTTCTTTTCAAGAGTTTATAAGAGGAAGTGAAAATGGCTGAATCATACCTGTACTCACAGTTTGCTTTGTATGGATGGATGGGTAACACTGTCCTTCTGAACAATCGTGTTCTGTATTAAATTATTTATTGATTGAAATATACATCAGTGAATAACAAGACTCTAATTAGCGCATACGTTTACATTTTCATTTCTGAGAGGAGTATTAATGTATGAATATTTGGAGGGTATGAGCTAGAAGTAGTTATCGACACGATTTGTTGTAGAACTGGTTAAAATACTGTTTCTGTGACAGATGACTATTCCAAAGTGAAAGAAATCAATTCTGAGTTTTTTTGAGCAGCTAATAAATACTTACTTTAAATATTCTAATATAGGTCATGAAGTGCCACTGCAAGCAAGGTGATATATTTGTAATCAGGAACTTTTTGGAACACAGATTTCTGACCCAGTAGCCTGTAGCTGTAGTTTTAACGGTTGGATATTAAGTGCTTTGCGGTGGTTCAATGTCAGAGTTACTGACTATAAATCGCAATTGCTCTTTTGGGATGTTGTAGCTTCTGCTGCACGTACGAGAGCTTCAGGACTGGTCTAAGTCCATGAAAGTGGGTCTGAATCTTTCCATTGACTCTGGTCAGTGTGATGGGATTCTTTTTGAAAGCACCTTTTCTTTTATTTTCCTTCTCCGTGAAAGGTGTGCCCATAGGCTTGCTGCGGGTGTGATTTATGGCAGGGAGCTTAGCCCCTCTGCTGCAGTGAGTGCATCTGTACAGCTGGCAGAGTGATGCTGCACAAGGCTGGGAAGCTCAGTTACACTTTCTCCAAATCCCTTTCAGAAAGCTGGCTGAAAATACAGTGTGAGTGCAAACAATTAGTCTTTTCTCCCATTTTCATAGATGACCTCATTTCCTCTCTGCTGTACGAAAAGCATGTGCTGCTTTAGGTGAGTTCAAGTTGAAGGCAGTTTTAAATGTTTCACGTTGCCTGACAGCGGTGGTGTATGTTTTTAACCATATGCCATATTTTCCACGTGTCGCTACAGCGAGTTGTTAGAAGGAAATCAAGTGTTTGAGATCAGTGCGAGTTTTGCCGTTTATTTCCGTGCCATCAGGACTGAGCTGTAAGGGACCAAGACACAGGTCTTTGGGCAGGTGCAGTCTCTCTAGCCAGGTGCAGGAGTTTTAGGGAAGCTCAGCTTGTAGAAGAGTTTTGGTTTAACTTGCTTTTCTTACGTTATGTTGATTCATAATCTGTTCTTGCTTTAATATCCCTATTGGTTCATTCTGTTGAACTGCTTCAGCTGTATACAAGTAATTTGTCATTAACAAAAAAAAAAAAGTGTGAATAAGGTGCCATTTATGATCATGCATAGGGTTTGAATTGCTTTCTGCTGTTCTAAAATATTTTTCTGCTGCTTAATTCCATCATAATACTTGCAATAATTTGTTTGCACATACATATATGCTCACACACACTTCTGAGAATTGAAGATCATTAGTTAAAAACGACCAAGTGAATGTGATGGTGTAATCACAGGCTGAAATAGTGTGGGACAAGAAATTAATAGAAGAAAAAAGGAAAGGAGGGAGAGGTAGCAAGTGACAGGAGCAGGGAAATAGAGAGAGAAATGTAAAATAATCCCATTAAAAAGATTATACAAAAGGGAACGTGGAGAAGGAGGAATTCTGTGTGAACTTCTCAAAGTTTTTCTCTAAAGGAAAGGGTGCAGTTCTGGTTTAATGAATTGAGGAAATGGGCAATGCTCTGAAAATAGTTTTGAGTTTATACAAAGCAGAATGTTATGTATCCTCAGGTTCCTGCAAGGAGGAACACTGAATGGTGTTTCAGTGAAACATAATTATAAACCACTGTATCTGCTACATGCACATTCTGGAGTTTCCGAGGAGAATGTGTCTTAATCTCTTTTTACATGATAGAATTACTGATTTGTTTTAACATGTAGCTCATGAGTGTGTGCATTGTTTCCTTTCCCTTGTATCCTCCGCATGTTGTTCCCTCCTACCCTTTTGCCCATGTCACATATATCCCGGTGGATTCAATGGCATCAGTCTCTGCTGAGTTCAAACTGATCAGCAGTCAGTGTTAGAGCTATTGTTGAGTTTCTTTTGAAAATTCAAGAAAATATCAACCACCTAGAATGACTGACCCAGAATCTGTAATTTTCATTCCCAAAGGACTTACAATTATAAATGTTTGTATTCACTTCAGAAGTTGTTCCTATTGAGTGCCAATATTCAATATTAGGTCTTTTAAACAGTCCAACCAATTCCCCATGATGAGCCAGTGCTGTTCTTCAAGTTAATGAGTTCAGTGATCAAGGGGAATTTGGGACCTATGATCAGGAAACACTAAGCACCTATAAATCCTACTAAATCTGATGGGAACTGCAGATATTCACCCCTTCTGAATTAATTTCTTAGAATGACTGGTAAGCAAGGGACGTCTTAATTTTTGAGAATTCACTGTCATAATTTTCTTTTGTTCTTTCTTTAAGCAAATCCAAACCAGCTCCACAAATTTCACCCAGTAAGTCTGTGGGAGGAGAGTTTTGTGTTGCTGCAGTCTTTGGATCATCAAGGTCATGGTTTGCAAACAATCCTGGTCTGAAAAGAGAAAAAGGTTGGTGTGTTAGAAAAATAGGACTTGCATTTAAATTTAAAATCCCTGTTTTATTTCCGCATTTTGCGGTAACTTCTGAGCCGATGGCACTTATCTGTAGATTTTGTTCCTTAAACTCAGTGATGAGGGTGATTTTGGGGAATGTGATGGGGTTTCTTTTAGCAAATACGACAATTTACAATAAATTCTAAGTAATTAAATAAATAATTGATCTTGTATTATGCTATAATGACAGAAAACAAACGTTGATAGTTCAATCCAAAGATACTGCGTGAAGTTTCACTGAAAAAGCTGAGGCAAAGATGTGACGCCTTTGCTGAAACAAACGTACTGACGTTTGGCAGTGTGTAATTACCTGAACACACCTTGGTGAGAAACTCTGTTCCACCTTCTCTTGTATGAGATATTCAGGGTTTTTTTGAAACAAGGGGGAAATTGTGTGCTTTGTACAGTTTTCTCTTTGTCTCTCTGTGCCCTTCACTTCTTTTAATTCGCATTTTTAACTGCAAGCATATAAAGGCAAGACACTTAAAAGAGTAAGGAGTCTACTGTTTCTATAAATGGCTTTTCTGTTTCTGCTGTGCTATTGCAGTAATATTTTATTTCTTCTTGCAAACAGATCAATCAAAACAGTTTGTAGTGGAGTCGTTGTATATTATCAGTTGTTATGGTAGCCTGGTGGAGCACGTACTGGAACCGCGTCCGCTCAGCACTGCTCCGAAGATTAGTGATGACACACCTTTGGAAATGATGACGTGCCCAAGAGCCAGCTGGACTTTGGTTAGGTAGTTCATTCCTTTTGCTTTTTCTTCTTTTTGTCCAGAAAATAGTTGTAATCTTTTTGTAAGGAGTGAATGAACTGCATCATGATTTTCACCTGTATTTTTATCGTAAAGTTTATCTTAAAGAATATTCAAGTTTCCCATTGAAAGAGAGGACTTTCAGTAGCAAATCCAAGCCTACCTTTTCATATAGTTCTGTTAATGTTTACATGTCTGAATGGGAGATAACCATTTAAATACTTCGATAGACGGGGAGCTACATGAACAGATCAATAGAGATCCTTATCAACTGGTGATTTTAAATGATCAGATTGTAGTTTGGTCTTTTATATAAGGGCTAGAAACAATTATTTTAATAGTGTTAAAGTACAGAATTCTGCCATGAGACATGAGTGAGGTTTCCACAGTGAAGCATTGCAAAGAATTAGGGAAGTTATCCTGTAAGTGGCTGAAGGTAGCATTTCTTAAGACAGTAGAAGAAATTATTCCTGACACGTGGAAGAAAGTAAACAAAAATTGATGAGAAAGTGTTGTCAGTGCTTTTGACGTTTTAAATATTTTTTTATCGATTTTTCTTGGCTCCTATATTCCTTAGTGCTGCTTATGGCTGGGCTAGATTGATCAATACTTGATTTACTATTAGCTATTTAGGAATGGCCCACCCTAATTAAAATTACAACACAGACTTCTAGACCATTATTGTTGAAATGAGTAGGTTGTAATGGAATTGAAAATTCTAATTGGATCAATAGTCCATAACTTTACACAGCTTTATTTTCACAGTTTGTAAATGCTCAATAACTTTACAGTATCGAAGCAACGCTAGTTAATAGAACAAAAAAGTTCCCCAGATTTTGTTGTGTATTTGTATAACGTCAGCATGACGTACAATGTTCCTAAACATATTTACCAACTTAATCTAAGCTGCCTTCATCGGTTTTTTGAGCAATAAATGCTGCAGTCAACAAACAAGTATTGTCTTTGCCTCACAATCTGCGTGATTTGGTCATGCTGCTCAACTGCCTGTGGTGTATTGCAGTGTTTGAACAAGCTAATTTAAATAATTACAAACATTTTGTGAGCTTGTATAGATAATTACATGTGATGACAGAAACACTGATTTACATTCTCTGTATTAGCTTAAATATTAATAGTCTTGTGTTTTACCTCAGAACTCCTCAGTGGAATGAACTCCAACCACCATTTAATGCAAACCATCCACTGCTCCTGGCTGCAGATGCTGTACAGTACTACCAGTATCTTCTTGCTGGCTGTAAGTAGCTGACAACTTTTTGTCATGTCTTACGCACACGTTTTAAGCTGAGTGTGACTTTCTGAGTTGGATTTTCAACCTGCATTTATTTCAGTATATTTTCTACCCCAGAATAGGGCTTCACATAGCCAACTATGTTAGTAATAAAAGAGTAGGCAATATAGTTTATTTTGATAGGAATCCAAGTTGTAAGGCTAACGTACAGCCAAAATGTGAGTGCTTGGCAGGCCTTGCAAATGTGACCTGCTAGATCCCCAAAAGTCATCAGGATTTCTTCACCTCATTTCTTCTCATGCTTTTAGCCATTTCCTCTTGGGAATTCAATAGTCGGTGACAACCCAGTGCATCTGCATTTTCCCTCTCCCCTGGAACTCCGGATTGCTGGGCTACTTCCAGCCAGAGTCTCAGGCATTTGCTTCCCTCGGGAGCCTTGGCATATCGCTTCCAGGGACGGCTGCCCACCTGCCTTGTCCTGTGTCTGATCCAGCCACGTCATTTGCAGGGAGCCGATATGCATGGCATTGCATTTTCAGAAGCATTTATATATCTGTGTCTATAGATATGTGATATGAGTATATTTTATATATATGTATATATAAACATCTATTTTATGTTGGTTTTATAGATAAATGAGTATTTCAGCGATTTTTTTATTTTGACAATTCAAAAAAGAGAAGAAAATTATTAATAGTGAGTAGCAAGTCTCTCCTTTTTTCTCTAGGGTGTAGTCAAGATCAAAGTTTCACAAGAGAACAACTCTTGGCATATGTAAAGGTACTCATGGGGAAACGAGACCCTCTGCACAGTTGTCAGTGCAGCTAACGCCAGCACATTATGTGACACAGGCATTTTAAAATGCAGAAAGTGGACATCTGGCCCACAAGGCACTATGTCTGAACATGACTAGGAGAAGCAACGTTGGCACCAGATTAGATCTGTTGCTGCTACCTGTCCATCTGCTGCACGTGCTCTGAGCTCAAAATGTTGTGGAAACCTACGAGGTTAGGGTCTTCCTTTTTCCATGCTGCACAGAAAATGAATAAAACTCAAAAGGTAGAAAAGAATATGAAAAAGTAATTAATAGAGCACAACACTGTGTCAGATGTACCTTTTTGCTAGAATTTTTTTGCTGGGTTCGTGTGTTATTTTCCTTTCACTTATAGGTATGACAGTTCTGCTTTGAGATAAAAGGTCATTGCAAGGGTGTATTTTGGTTGTATAGTATTTCACAATACAAATGCAGATCACTATTTTCAAAAGAGTATGTCTAAAATTAGATGTGCAAGCCTATACTTAAATTTTCATATAAATATTTTGAAGCATTGAGTGCAGTCAGGTCAACAAATGTATTTGTGATTTACATCACAGCCTTGAATAGACGCTGTGAACTATAGAGCAGAGGTCTAATTTCACACAGTAGTTTAAGGTAACTCCTGCCACATAGTCTGCTCATGCTGCTGATAATTCCTTTTGGTATTTATATTTTTATCCATTGCTTATGCACCTGTTGCTCTTGATGATGCTGAGTAGTCTTGAAACAGTCTCCAAAACTACCTTTAATTCACAAGCACTGCCTATGCAGCTTGCCTGTTTGGGCCAGATGTCTTCCCTTTCCTTGCCCTCCCCAAATTCTCTGCTCTAGTTTTAGATGTCTTTATCATCCATATTGGTTTCAACTATTTCCCCTGCAAGCTATCAAATGTGTAAAAATATAAATTATTATATGAAGGATGCAGTTATTGCTGTCTGTGTCCGAGAGCACAGAATGCTCTCGGGAGAATTATGGACATTTTGTGATAGTAGTTTGGAAATCAGGGATGGATGTGGTTCACTCTGTGTGTTTCATTAACAGCTCAGATCCTACGCATTTCAAATGGTTTTGTACTGAAAACTTTTTAAAAGGAAGCTTGTATTATTTGAGTTAAGTCACATAATAGGAATTATTTAAGATGGGTGTGGAGTAAAAAAAAAATAGAATGATAAACACTAAAGACAAAATAGTATCTAGAGAATATAGTAAAAATGGCATTAACAGAGAAATTTGTGTGTATCTGATCTTCTTTGAAGTTTTATTTGTCTTCTGGATTTATTCTGTCTGAAGCTACTCAATGAAGTTTCTGAAAACATGGAGTCAGACCAGGATTCACACAAAAGAGTCCAAGACACCTGTTAGCTTTCCCCCTATTAAATCCACGCTAAACCGGAGTTATCTGGCTCTACTTACCTGCAGCGCTGTAATGGGTTGACATTAGCTGAAGCCGGTGGTTTGATGTGCTATCACTTCCGTCAGTAAGTTTAATTGCCAGCAAATGGCTAAATAGGGGTTTAGGGTGAATGTTACATCTGTCTGCCACGTTAGTGGTAAGAGGAATTCTGGCGCCGTTTCAGGGTCGCTGTTTGTATCTGTCTATCAGAGGTAGAATACAGCAGTTTCTCTCAGTTTCTGTATAGCATTTCTGCCAATTGTTTGGCTCCATTAAGTGTGCAGGGGAAATAAAAGCCTGAATGACCAAGTCACAAGGGGGTATGGATAGACCCTTTCTTTGTCCACACTCAGAACATTGCATTAGGTCTCATTATCCATTTATAATAAGTGACCTTTGCCCCCTGGGTCATTGAAAAATACTCAGTGTGCTTTTTAGCACAGAGTACCTCTGTCAGCAGATGGACAGAACAATGAGATGTCTGGCGGGCTGGTTGGAGGGCTGTACTGTGCAGGTTTTCATAAATATGCAGTTTGATGCCAAAACACTGGACCAAAATCTTCCTTAATCTCTCAAAAGTATAAAGTAGGCCAGTGAGTTCTTGCGATAGAGAGAATATTCTAAAAATACTGCATTTAGTTATTTGCGCACAGCTCAGCTTTTAACATTTTATAGAATCTTAAAGTTATGTTCACAGCTAATAAGGAGGTAACAAGGAGCCATTGTTTGAAGAAATATTTTGTACAACAAGTGTCCAAGACCTTTATCCCAAGGGCATTTGTAAGTGGATTAGCACAGCTGTTTCATTGCTTTGAGGTCGTCTGTGACATCTGCTGCAGAAACCTGGATCCCAGAATGCGGTTCGTATCTACCTGAGAGCTGTATCACAGCCATGGCTTCTGCGGAGAGGTGAGGAAGTGGACAGCGAGAGATTTGGACCTCTCTGTAGGTTCGTGGGTTAAATTCCCCAACCTGTGGCCTGCAGGAAATGCTGGCATCCTGCTCCTGACTGTTTCAGGCTTTTTGCAGTTGGTCAGAGTAAAAATAACCAGTCCTGAGAATCTCCTCGCCTTCTGACACAGCAGATTTCAGAATTCTTTTTGTTTTCATCGGAGTTCATCCTGCAAAGCCCCAGATGTATTGCAATCCTCAGTGCTGGGTGTTAGGTGCTAGATGTTTCTCTCCTACCCTTCTCAGATTCAATACATAATATTTCACCTTATTTGCCTCTCTAGTGTTCCCTCTTTATTTGCCTGTGTTCTAAGCAACTCCGAAATCCAACAGAGGAAGGTAATGTAAGGCACATTTTATTCTTCTTAGATGTTTTTCCTCTGATGTAAATACCATCAGCTGGTATCGTTGGACTGTCCCGGCAGACCTGACAGCTGGAGGACAGTTGTGTGTAGCACTGCATGTGTACATGGGGGGGCTTCTGGGGTCCATGGGAACTTGCAGTGTAGAGGACTTGGCTTTCTTCAGAGAATTGCCAAGTCTCATCATTACGTGTTCTTTAAATACTACTCACTTCCTGCTGTTCAGTACTTAGGAATTCAGATGCTTCTGGGAATATAAACTCCTGAGACATGCTGTTAAGATGTGCTTTTCACGTCTGTGACAATGCGCTGTTTGTGTTCAGGTTTGTTTTTTTTTTTTTAATGAATACTTTTCTCGCTATTACCATGACCCAAAGTCTTACATATTTGATTGACTTAACCCGTGTTTCCTTCGTCTGACTTCTGCACATTCCACTTTTGCATGTTTGAATCCATACAGACGTGTGCATGGTACATCGTGGAATTGCAATGAAAACAGGGAACTTGGCGTAACAGCAGAAAGGCTTACATCCTCATTTCATACTTCTTATTTCCTTTCTTCCTTACCCCTCCTCTTCGAATTCACTTTTTCATGGCACTGGAGGAATGGACTGTAGTTGAAATATCTGAAATGTGGACAGTTAACACATTAATGAAAAAAAACCTTGAAATCAGACCAAAAACTGTCCAGAAAAGATATTGAATAAAATGAGATATGATTTCTCTCCTCTGGCTCTGGAAAGGGCACCTTCACATTCCAGGCAAGAGTTTTGGCTCGTCAGGACAGATTTTATGGAGACGACCTGCAGTTGTCAGAAGCAGGCCTATGACAAGAATTAATATATTAACTGGTATGCAGTACTCTTTGACAAATTGCTTACTAAATACATCAAAATTGATTGGACATTCTGTGTTTAAATTGACAAATGACTGCATTAGGGGAAGGAGGGAAATCCATTAATTACAGCTGCCCTCAACCATAGGAAATGTAATCGTATAAATATAGATTTTGTTAAAACAAAAGTCTCTACTTTCCTATAGTGTTGCTGGTAAGTGTACTTGCACCTCTTTGCTATTGAACCTCCAATAGGAGGTTTTGAAGACAGATCTTTGCAATTGGCTTTTAAATAATCAAAGCCCATTTCTGTTGTGTTAAAGGAATGATGCAGTGTTTCTCTATCCCGCTCTGACTGCTTCTGGAAATTGGTTCTCTCTTAGAAAAATTGACACGTAGCTGAGGCTTCTGCTGTCTCATTAATTGTTTATCCTAAATGCAATGTAATTCATACTCCAATGTTAGAATTCCAACCAGGACTCTGTATTCTCATTTTTTGTTCCTGTACTGGTCTCTTGCGGGGCTGTTACTTATTTCTGAGGAGGAATTTGCACTTGAGTTAGGCCTGAAGATATAATCAGTTTTATAGACTTCGTTAAGGGATTCTTGAAAAGATTAAGGTCTGTATTTATAGCTGCCTTTGACTCT